TAATTATACAGAATAAAAGAGTGAATTCATGGATTTATTTTATTTATAGGAGATGTGGTTTGTTTTGTTGTGTTTTTTTATTCATTTATATATTAATTTTGAGAGGGAAAATCAAAAGAAATGCATCATCAGTTTGTAATAAAGTTCAAGTTAAGTAAAGTGATATTTTTCATCCTGGTGATGCATTACTTTTGAGCGCCACTCGCACCCCGTTATAGTCACACTCAATATAGTCACAATATTGTTATAGTCTCGCATTTTGTAATCCCCATTTATTTATAAACGTAACAAAAATCACCTCTTTATTATAGTCACATTCTCGTTATAGTCACTGGATTCTTGTCTCCCAATCCTGTGACTCTTTCATTTATAAAATATAGTATATATAATTCATCGTCATGTAAAATTATTTATTCGGATTAAAAAATGAAAGCATATACACGCTGATAATAGGTTTTGAAAAATTCAGATTATAAAACATTTATTTTGATATTCAACGTATTCATAAATTAGTAAATTTAAAAATTGCCAATAATTACAAAATAATAAGGGTAACGGTGGCGAAATTCAATATAAATTTCTGACTTAAAAAAATTCAGAAATGTTGATTCAGATAAAATTTCAAGCAAAAGTCAAGAAATAATATTTAATGGACAAACTCAAATTCCTAATTTCTCATTGAGCAAGTCTTCAGTCCATTTCCACAACCGACTAGCAGTCTCTTGATTCGTGGCAAATGGTTTCAGCGTTCCCAATTTCGCAATCGGCTCAAAATACTTGCCGCGATAATCTTCTTTTTCAATTTCGGGGCTCGTAGCCGCGTACAATGATGTTAGAGCACCATCGTCTTCATTCATTGCAAACAATGCTTTTGCAACGTATATGATTGATTTAGTCAAGAATCCTTGGTTGGATAAGAATTCTTGTGATATATTTGTGTTGACAAAACCTTTTTATATTAACAATTATTCCAATATATATATTATTAAAATTATTAAAAACATTATTCCTAAGAACATTTAGAATTACCTGGATGAACGGCATTCGTCCATACTTGTTTTCCTTCAAGTCGTTTCGCTAATTCTAGAGTAAACAAGATATTGGCGATTTTCGACTGACCATATCGAGTCACTGCGTTTTCTTTTTCAAGGTTGATATCGTCAAAATTTATCCCGGTTTTTGGAGCACTTTTATAGGATAAACTATCAACATTCAAAAATTAGTTATCAAGTGTATTTCTGCGGTATAAAAAAATACAGTATGTACCTGGAAACGTTTACAATGCGCGAAGGAGTTGATGCTTCGATAACCGGTAAAAGGGTCTTAGTTAACACCTATTTTTAAGATAAATAACAAGCGTATTGATTAGAATGCAAATGTATCGAAGTATATTGTATTCGTTATTTCTTGTGTATATAAATGATTGCTATTATTATACTCACAAAATGACCTAAATAATTTGTTGCGAATTGTTTTTCAATTCCATGTTCATTTAATTCGTATGGTCTAATGAAGCGCGTTAAGTAAAAATTCATACATTTCTAAATTTGTAATATGTGGCAAATAAGCTTAAAATAACGATAGGAATAATTACGTTGCCATAATTCCAGCATTATTAACGCTAAAAAACATTTAACTTAAAATTAACAAATAACACATAAAACAAAAAATAGATACTACCAAAAATACTTTAAATACTTACAGAATATGTAACGGCAATTTCCTAGCAACAAAATTATCCGCTGCATCCTTGGTACTCTTCCAATCCGACAAATCCAACTGCAAAACTTCAACGTTATCGTTTTTAGTTTCTGCTTTGATTTTATCGACGGCCGCTTGTCCTCTTTCGATGCTTCTGCAGCACACAATCACATGTGCGTTTTTTCGGGCAAGTTCGCGGGCTGTTACGTATCCAATCCCACTATTACCGCCTGTTACGATCCCAACCTTATTTATTTAAAAAAAATTTATTAATTCTAGTACTATGAAAGTTAAATGAATTGCGAAAAGCTTTTTTTCTTACTTTGCCAGTAAGATCTGGAATATCATTAAATGAAAATTTCTTTCGTCCAAACATTTTTATAGCTATCGTTCACAACTTGGATATTCGCATTTTATATATGTAAGTTGTGCCTCAGATCGCTTCTTGCGCCAGATGTCGTTTGGCCCAAATTAGAATAAGGGTTCTACTAAAGTTAGGGTTAGCGCTGGGGAAATAAATTTGGCCGAAGGGAATTACGCGGTGACATCTGGCGCAAGTTGCCATCTGAGGCACAACATGTACACTGAATCACCGTGCATCTAGACTATTTCTCAATTTAGACATGATTTATTTTTCTTTTTTTTTCGATTATTATCTTTGCATTGTTTCCAGTCGTAACGAGAAATTTCGTGATTACGAAAATCCGGGAATAGTGGGAGAAAATCTTAATGTGAAACTTTAAAATAATTTATTCGTATTGTTCCGTACCACCTGAGCAAAAATTCATACAAAAATTCATATATTGTAATATCAACATTAGATGCCACTTCGCAAAATTCTTTGTGATATCGACATTAACACTGCCTTCTCCAATAAGAATTTCTTATAAAAATTCTTAATTTGCCATTCCAAGTTTTTGATTATCATTAGAAATTTCATACAAAAGTTCGTATCGTATGTTATTCTTTTTGATACATAGGAATAATTACATTTTTCTTACAAAAATTCACATTTTATATCGTATATAATAATTTTACTTTATTTTATTTTAAATTTTATTGATTTCTTTTAGTCCTATTCCTTTCGGCGAAATCTGTACTAAATTACGATCTGTAGTAATCAAATTGTATATAAAGGACAGAAAGGCAATGCGTGATTTGAAGAAATACTAATAAAAATTATTTGTAACGCTTACCTAATTACACTTCGTCGTTATTACTTTTGTGCTTAACAAATCTTTTTACTGCTTTGGCCATACAAAGTGGATGCATCGTTTTTGTTTCTTTTGATATTGAATTTATTATCTTGATAGTGATTTGATGTTGATTTTTATTATTTTGTTGTGAATTCTATTATCGTTTAGGAATGAATTTATATCTTATTGAGTATTTTTCTATTGTATTAGTAAATTTTGATTCTTTAAGTTTAAATTGTTATTATAACTTTACTTTGCCCTTTATTGCAAAATCTCCGTGAAAGATTGGCAAGGGAGACCTTTAGAGCCTTAGTGAATCCCACTTTACTTAAACCATTCAGTTTAGCTCCCAACCTTTGTTATATACTCAATTCCTAACTTTTGAATTGGTAACAGTATATAAAAATAATCCTTATATATTTTTCTTTTTATTTATGTAGAGAACGATGCTTAAATCATTGCCATTTCGAAGGAAGCAAAAAGTACATGATACAATCAACCGATTTAAGAAAACTGGTTTCCGCATCATTTTGGATGACTAAAAATTTTGTCGGAATGTGATAAATGAAATTTAAAACGTACATGTATTATAAAAAATTATTGCCAAGCACATTTAATAAAATTGCTAGTCAACTAAATGCACGTACTAAAACCTCATTACTGCATAATTACATGAAATTATTATCATTTTAGTCCCATTATGCAATTTATAAACCTCTTTTAACTCTTCAGCATAAAAAAATCGTTTAAAATGATGTAAAGAAAAAATTTGGAATATTGAATGTCACCAGACTAGTCACAGTTTTCTCTTTTTCATTCAGATGGACATGCAAGCGTATGACAAAACTCATCCGAAAAAACACTTAAAAAGCTGTGTAATTCCAATAGTAAAATATGGTGGATTATCATTATCAGTTATGTTTTGGAGAAGTATTGGATAAGATGGCGTTGGACTTTTGATAAAGGTTAATAGTAATCACAATTCCGATGGTTATGTTAAACATTTTGGCAAAAATCTATTTTCTTGAATGAATAATATTTTCTATACACTCTTTCAACAAGATAACGCTTCTTATCATACTTTGCATTATACTAGTTGATGGATGCAAACTCATAATATTCCAGTTTTGGAATGGGTTGTTCAAAGTCCCGAATTAATTCAATTAAGCATATGCGGAACCATTAAATCATCAAATTAGAAAGAGAACCTCTTCCAACTTCCAAGAAGGATTTAATCGATGAATCGATGGAAGAATGGCATAAAATGCCTTTTCCAGCATGCCGCAACGAATTATGGCTGTTAGCAATGCTAAAGGATAACTTACACACACTATTAGATTTTTAATTAAATTTTTATTCTATAGCTTTTTTCTTTCTAATACTTTTCAAACTCAAAAAATTTATTAATAATGCGCGGTAATTTACTGTATGTCTGTGTATAACCGAATTTACATGTATGAAAAAATCAACGCAAGCCAAGTAACACGTAATCTTATGAAAGTTTTAGAAAAAACCTTTTTAATTATTATTCATATACGACTTTAAACCGAGCATCACATTAAATATTAGACTTCCAGATTTCCGAAACTCGTGAAAATACTCAATACGTTTTAGTCGCAAATTCAATGAACATACATGTACTTGTTTAAATGGCGATCTACCGGATAAACAGTGAGACCGAACGGGAGTCCTCTTTCGAATCACTAGTTCCTAACAATTGAAAAATCGCGTAATGTGCAGTTCCCGATTTGATATGCTCGAAGTAGATCCGCACAAATTCCTATATAAATTCACACTTTGAAGCATCAATATAAATTTCGCTTCGAAAATTTCCCACCTTGTGACAGCACTTCCTTCCTTAATAAAAGATAGCAGAAAATTATTAGTTTACGATCTCAAAGGATGGATTATCAAACATTATATCATATGTTATTTCTTTGATCATAGAAACATTTATATCAATATTCGCAAATTATAGTTAGACTTCGTTTCGTCATTATATTTACATTTGATTCTTTGTATCAAAGCTATATCCATGCCCTTTTTGTGAGAATTCTTAATAGTTCATAGTTTGTACTTCGGATCCCGTGAAACTGCGTATCAAGTTGATGTAGTTCTAAAATTGTATTTAAAGAAATAGTTATCCGAAGGTTTGAGAATTAAGCAATGGGCGGTTTGAATAACAATAAATATTAATTTATTTTGAAACTTACTTAACTGCGCTTCGGCTCTTATTTCTTTCGTGCCATAACGAAATTGATAGTTTTTATTTCTTTTATGCTTAACAAAATTGATGGCTTTACTTCTTTTGCCTTAAAAAGTTGGTGTATATTCTTTTGATTAGTTTGTTGACCGCGTCAATAAATCCAACGCTTTGTTTTGTATTGGTAGTGGGCAGAAACTACCCGTATTCCTTTGGATCCTTGAACCTTTTAGTTTTTTCCGAAATGCCCCTTTTCAAAAACTTTATATTAAGTCCGCTTCTATCGTCTAAATAATAGTTTTCGTAAAGCTATCACAGGAGACCTTTAGAACACTCTCTTTGAAAATCATTCAGTCCAAGCTCCCCAACCTTTGTGTTGCGTTCTACTTTCTTTAGATTCAACATCTTTAAAAAGTAGCGCAACACTCCCTTAAACGATAGGAGAACTTTTGCTTGTTAATAACTTTTATAGCTCCCTCATGACTATTCCATTAACATGTAAGTTAGGAAGGATTTCTTCAGGTAATAAAATCGTTATAATTCAAATTAACAAAGCTTATTATCATTAATAACACAAGGCTTATTAGGCCACGCAAAATATCAAAGTAAATTCATAACCCGGCCGGGTCAATTTTAAAAGCCGGGGCGGGTCACTTTATGTTATGAGAACCAAAAAATTAATTTGTATGGCCTTATTATTAATAAACATAAAATTTTTCTTATTACAATTATTGAAATCATATCCTAAGATACTTCTCCCCTATCACATTAAGACGGAGCATATTGTCATCTTTATTTCAGTCTCGTGACTATTGACTTGTCTGATATTTCTTCCTGCTTAATGGTAATATATACCACTTCATGGCTAATGACAAAGCGATTATCATCACGTGATCAGATCCAATGCGGCTTGTTCACGTTCATTGTTAATATCACTAATCCGTGGGTTCACTTTGTTCTCTATTTTTTTCTATCTATTTATATTATTATTTTATTATGATGTTGAGCAAATGAATTATCAACTTTTGAGTGAGTGGATCATTAGATACATAGTATTGGGTGAATAAGATTAAAGTTATTATTAGGACTAATATAATGATTATCTGAGAGATCTTTTGAATGAAAGGTAATATGTATATATATTTATTATCAACAATTGAGATCAAAATGAGGAAATCTATTAATTGTTGACATATTCCATGAAAAATAACTATTTGTAATTTATTAATATATCTGAATCTTTAGTTGTTTATGATTATTAATATTTATTTTAATTTTTTTTTCAATTTCTAGATGGATGTTAGAGCTAGAGATGTGCCTATGCACATTATGCGTGCATATATACACACATATATATGCGCATTATGCACATAGCTACTAACTAATATCATAAATGCCCATACACAATTATGCATATAGTTAAGTTCATAAATCATCACCAATTAAGGGAGTCCACTAAAGCCGGGTAGTCTCACGTGATATAGAATTCGATTTGGATCATATCATGTGATTCATTTGTATCATGTGAAAGGTAATTATTGACAACATATTATCAGATAATAATAGTGAAG